CTTTTCTGTTGATCGATTTTTCGATCGTACTATCATTTTTTCTTCTTACATTAAGGTCCAGGGAACTGAACTCATCGTTGTGTTCATATTCCAAGGTGAATTTAATTTTTGGGTGGATCTCATTGGAACGTTTTTTTCTGAAATTTTTTCTAGTGCAAGCGTTTACTTCTCATTTTAATATCTTTGAGGAGTTACATCTTCCCCCTAAGTCGTACAAAAACACAAATGAGGTCAAAATTTGAATCCTGACAGTGATAACTAGATGATTTATATCAGGATTCGTGTGTGCTATGCATCATCATCATCATCATCGAACAGATCATAGAATGGTGATCAACTCTTTACCCTGACTCCACTGACTTTGGAAAGACTTCCGATAAAGTAGATTATGAAGTAATTTGGCAGCTATGTGATGATGCCACACGTCAGTTAATCTGCAAAGAATAGCTTAGTAAGGCGTTTAAGATAAAGTTAGGAGTAGGCCAAGGATGATTACCATCACCGGTGATATTTCTGATTGTAGTGGACTAGATCATATGGCATACCGTGGGATCTGAAAATGCGGGTATATGTTTAACCGACTGAAGCACGGCATATGAGCTAGATTTCGCAGGTAATTTGCGTTTCATGTTACACAAACTGGAATATATACAAGGGAAAACCAACAAGTCGGCAGTAGAGGCAGATAAACTGGATGATGAAGATATCCAGTCGCTTACCACAAGTATTAGTCACTACCAGCAGGAGAGATCTTAGGGAAATCATCTACTTCACCTACCTTAAGGTATGGTTTCAGTTACAGGCAGCCAACTTTGATCAGAATGTTAAAGCCAACGGAGATAAGATAGAGAAGACAAAACAGGAGTTTATCACTGTGAAACTAACGCGGAAATCTACTGCAGTCACCATAAAAAACAAAATTCAGATTCTTAACAGTAATGTCAAGTCAATTCTCCTATGTGATTCAACCACTCTGGACATCAACAAAAGCATTTCGAACATGCTTCACAGTTTTATCAACAGCCCGCTTCGTTCCATACTGAAGATCAGATGGTCAGAAAGGATTAGTGGCAAGAACCGAGTGAACGAACCAAAGAAGAATCTATTGCCTAACAAATATACAGAGAAAAAATGGAGATGGATTGAACATTTCCTGAGGAGACAATCGAGTGACTTCAGACTCCAGGTCCTCAGCTCTAATCCTTATCAGCATCCGAGGGTGACATGGAGAAGATAGTTTGAGGAAGAATAAAAGTTTATAGGCAATTGTGGAGCTAGTTAAAATAAAAACAACTTTAGGAAACAGATTAAAATAAAGATGTTCTGGGGAAGTCCTGTGTTCCACTCAGAAGCCAAGGGAATAATAATCACATGGTTAATTCGCTAATCTGGTGAATACAACACAGGCTTGATCGTTATATCTGTTCAGTTAGATGAAAGTATCAAAAAAAATATGTTGACAATTTCTATACCATTTTACTGTGATCATCCAAAGTGAAAAGATTGTTTCTCCAGCTTGTCTTAAAATAAGCAAACAACTATTTATAGAATTTCAAACCAATAATTATAATTATAAATGCCTTTGAAATGCTAAACGTTTCTTTTATGCTAAGTTTACTGTTTCTCTGTTTTTTTCTCCTAGTGAAAATAAACAAAACAAACAACAAAAAAAACTGACTTTAAGTTAGCAGAATATTTATTACTGCCAGTGAAGTTTGAACGGTTTTCTTACTAACAAAAAGATTCAATTTTCGGAATCAGTAAAACATATGCCCACATGGCTTCATACACATATTGTACAAATGAAATTTAATTAACCGCCTAGTTCAATAATAAGATACCAAAGAATGGATTGATAAAGAAACGGATAAGCTGATTAGTAATTTGTTATAAAGTGCACATCCCAACAGTTTCTCGAATAATAAGCTTATAAATATGGAGGAATACAATAAGAAGTAGTTATATCTAAGAATAAAGTTTAAGAGGTGCTGTGCTCACACAATGAAGTTGTTGAACACAACTGTTCCCTCAATTACCCTACAATATCAGGAAATAATAGTGATGAACGCACACTTAGATTCAAATGGGTACAGCTGAAAAAGTTTATTTTTTCTGTGATACTGAGTTTCACTAGCAATGAGACTGTTTTTCGCAGGGCGGAGTTACTGACCTCAAGCTTAGGACCGAATAGTAAGCTAGGTTATGTTGAACCAAGAACAGTTATTTGCTCTTAGTCTGAGACTGTTATTCAATGGACAACTAGGAATTTAAATCAGAACCTTCAGGTCGAAAGGCGAACCTGTTAATATTTCACACTCTGAGTTTGTTAATCGTATTATCAACCTTGGATGAACTCATGTACCCTCCGAGATTGGGACCTCCGTCAATCGGTACTGTAGTCAGGGATGTTACCACTGAGCTATCCAGCTTAAGAGTTCTTTTCGTTCATTTTGGGAATCGCATTTGAATGTGATTGCTTCCCAAAGAGTAGTGGTCTTCTCATTGATACCTGACCCCAGCACCTGTCGCTTCAAACACAGAAGCATTATTCACCAGACTATCAGGACTATGTAACAAGTACAAACGTCAAAAATAAGTGTATTTAGCTGTTACATTATTCTTATAGCAGCTGATCGATTCGGAAGTCTTCACAACCAAAAATTTACAACATTAAGTCATTTCCATAATACTGGCTCACACCGGAACTGCTAATTTTTCTTGGAGTTATTTATTCTCTTTTATCATTGGTTAACACACACTAATCTCCTCAGAAAAATATTTTAAAAAGGCTAATCTTTAAAACTACTGCAGTTTTCTTCGTTTACTTTGGACTTATCATTTCTCATGGAAGTTCACAATTTTTCTACATTTCTTTCGGCCAACTTCTAAGTACATTGCAGACATGGGACAATGCATGTGAACTGGATGTCTTCATACTTGATTTACTGCTCAACACACCTTGTTAATGTGTTACAATAGGCAATCGAAGATTTTCCCCATACTTTTGTGCATGCAACTAAAATATGAAATACACGTATTAAATATCCTAATTACTTTCCAGATATAGACGAATTTAACACTGTAGTGAGTGCTACTGATAAGAATTTGTGAGTAGTATATTGGTGATGTCTTCTGCCAAAATCGTGGATAGAGGAGAGACAGACTGAGAAACAAAGAGGAAATATGAATTTGCTTGTAAACCACCGATACATACTTGTTTCTGAATAACTATGCAGCCCTTTCAGTAGACTCACGCTTCTTTGTTAGCAGTCTACTTAATATATAACGATTGTACTGTAATGCCAAAGTCAATTAACAGTCAAAAACTTGAATTTCTTCACTTGAACAATGAAACTAAGAGACATGCCTACTCCTATAAAATACTATTCTCAAAGCTATGCACTTGTTGTATACACCATCCTTTGAGTACACTGATTTCAAAAACTTCATTAAAATAATATCCTACCTACTCTTGGTAAAATCGTTTCTCCAATAGCCGTTTCGAACTTCCAGTACTAACTGAAAAAAATTGTTGATATTATTCCATGGCCATCTGATCTTTTTGAAAGATTCCTACTGTTTACAGTAGACAATGATAAAGAAATTCGGCTGCCACAAGATAATCATGGATATATCAATAACATTTTAGTAGCCAGCTAAAAATATCCCTGACATAATTAAATAGCAGTGCGTCGGGGTCCAGCAGTCGAATCCTCGCCAACCATGCATGTGGTCCAGTGTTCGATTCCCGGTCGGCTCACTCCTACACCGCCTAGCAGATAGTAAGCCTGGTGAAGATGAAAGGTTGGGTGTAAGGCTAGCAAGGAAATAATTGCCACTGAAACTTCGGATTTCAAGCTTGAAACCCTATCTTCCAATCGGAACACAAAGGAATAGACAAATTAAATATAAAATAAGAACATTTAAGAGTTTTGTAAGATCACAGAACCTCTTGTAAGCTGTAGGACCTTGGAGCAGTTCACGGTTCTATTATTTAAGAAGCGAAATTTCCCAAATTTCATTTACGCTAATGGCACTTTTTCGTCAGATACTGTTGTTGTACACATTTGCTTGGAGTACTGTTGTGATACAGATATTTATTTTTGATTTGTTCACTACGTGATTTAAGTATATTTTTACGATTTCATCATCGATTATGTTGATATGAATTTATTAAATACAGCCTCGTATTGTAGTATACTATGCAAAATTTACTCTTAAACAGCCTTCAAACTTTGTGATTATTGTTTTTACTATACACATAATTAATTTTCATTACGGTAATACTTCACCTTAGTCACAGTCGAGATTTCATCATTCTTAATACATCTCCTTCTACAGATTGTGAAACATGCTGTTAGCTTTTTACAACTTTTTCTCAATCGTCATTTATCATGAACACCCTAAATACGTTATTCGTCATTTTTGCATTGATAGAATCTAATGTTAAGTACAAAAGGAAGCATTGTACTACTTATACGTCTACTGAAATGACTAGGTCACATGTTATATATATATATATATATATATATATATATATATATATATATATTCAGCATATCTGAATACTGTTATCAGCTAATGAAAAGTAATCAGGCAGATGTAAAATACAACACCTACGCATTATTAACTGAATTTCTCCTAGGATTTCTACTCATGCATGCTATTGGAGATGGAAGTAAAAACACACATACGCATGCCTACAGATACATAAATATACATACAGAAGTATCATATTGATTAATTCTCTAAAAGGCTATTGAACAAGGAATTGATGCTGTAAGAACGAAAGAGTGATAAACTCAAAAATTGAGTTATATGACCCATTGCATCGATTAAGTCTCCCATCTCGGATATGATTTGTAATAAAAGTTCATACCCGTATGAAATAGCTTGTTTTCATTGGTTGTATTGATCGCAGATGGGCTGGGCAAAATATGAATTAGTCAATAGTGACTGAAGTTCAGACTGTTTGTTTTTATCACACCACCTTTCTAACTAAAACAGAAGATAAAAATAATATCTGTATTCAAGTTAAAAAGTATAATTCTAAGACGAAGTAAATTATTCTGGAGGAATTAGTTGACTTCGATTGTTGATATCTAACGAAAGACAAGATCATTTGATGTCTTCAATAGGATAATTTAAAATGCCGGAAGAAACTGTATCACCGTGAGTAATTTTTTTTTAAATTTCTTACTACTGGAATTTCTTAAATAATTTGTAATTGTTAAAAATAATTCTTATGTGAGTTAATACATTCTTTCATTACAGGACACACTTAAGCCACATTTAACAATACAGCTAATTCAAACTCGGTTTCATGATGCTGTGGAATTTAATTGATATTAACCTTCTAAGCCTAATTAAATATTATTTCTGTTTTGCGGTAAATGAATGTGATTTTTCGGTCATGCAGTGTCAAGTACTTTTATTCCTTCAATGTATCGTTGATGAAAATGTTGATGAAATCTCATGTATTAGGCATAACCAATTATTTTTCGTCTTAGCCAATATTCTTATCTGTTGAATGGTGTAGTTTAGTTGTCTCCCTTGTTAGAGTTAGGGTCACAGTATATTTTGTGACTACAACTTAAGTCTCTTTTATATATCTTAGACTGATTGACATTTTTATCTGGAAGCCTAACTAAAACAGTAGACTGTACTACTTTGTATTATTTCGACGTAAATTAAATTCGCCTTCAATTAGAGGCATCATTTTTTTGTTTGTCTTCTAGTGGTGATATTTTTTTTTTTTAAAAGATGGCCTTTAACTGAACGGAGTACAGTATTCGTCTGACTACTGGGTTTTGTAAAAATAGGAGATAAAATTTTATTGTGATCCACTTTCAGAATTTGTACACAGTGATATATTGGTCGTCACTGACTGCCTACTGTAAACTTACGATCCTTACAAGTTCCTTATTCTTCTAACTCTGCGATTCTGATGAATCACTCTTCTTTCCCCCACCCCCCAGCCTGTATACAGTATATAACGTGCAGTGAATGCTTTTCCTGGAAAATGCTGTCACGGCCATTCAAAAGAGACAAGTTTCCTGAGAAAATGAGAAGAATGAGCAATGTAAAGCGGATTTGGGGAGGGGGGTTGTTTTAAAGAAAGTAATTTAAAAATTGGATTTATTTTAATAGCAATTTAGACAGCCTACAGATCGTTTGATAATATGACACGTGATCTGGTATTTTTTTTGATTTTTGATTACGGCTTGATTCCACACCGTATTTTTGGTACAAGTATGGAATTTTCAGCGTGGATATCGGTAGCCCAAAATTCGCAGGCCGACCATAGGTATCAGGTGTGCGTCGGCGAGGGCTCGAACCCGGGACCATATGCATGGTCGGCGACAGTCCTAACCACTGTGCCACTGACGCACACAAATAAAGGAGTGCGTCGGCCGGGGATCGTACTCCGGACCATATGCATGGTCGACGAGCGTGCTAACCGCTATGCCACCGACGCAATTTTGAAGAGTGACTTTCGGTAGCCAACTGAATTTGTGGAGTAAAATTATGCCTCACCTTTCTTTCAAACTTAGTCACACTATTACTTGGGCGAAGTTCCATTTGTTAACATAGATTTTATAAGCATAATTGGTATAACCTTCGTCAATACAGAATTCAAATTCAAAAGAATCGTGAATTTTCGCAGCGTCGAAAATTTGAAATAACGGCCCCTTGTGCTGACGAGTAAAATCACTGCTTAAAATTGCGAAATATTTTTTTGCACTTCCAATTCACAAATTTCGCTCCAGTTAATGCAACTGAAATGCACAACGCAAGGTGAAAATATGTGTGTCACTTGTGAAAAGGCTAAAATCTCAAGGAATCTATGACTGGTTTCAAACTCTTTAAGTTAGCATCACCAAGTATTAAGTTTTTAAAGCTCTTACAACACTAACTGAACCTGTTTTAGCTTATCTAAATAGTCAGTGGCTGCAATAATTTTGAGAACCTTTGTCACATTTAAAACCACCGTAATTTGATAGCTAAAATCTGCGACATCTGAATGCATCATGTTCAGTTGCTGGTGTTCAGTAGAAATCAGTGGGTTTCACAGACCAAAGTAATCGAATACATCCATCCGATATTCTTCTGCATGATAAACAGAGTCAAGTTTTGGTATCAAACATCTAATGCTAGACTGCAGGGTACTTCGGTGTCTACTTAGGAGCAATATTACAAATTTCATCGATAGATTTCCGTTAGTAGTTGTGCCTTTGCTCTCATTTCATTTAGTATTTCAGTTATATCAAAATAGTCAAATCTAACTGGTATATTCGATACATCTTAAAGTAATTCTTCAGATTTTCTTTTACTTTTCAAGTTAGTTGCACCTATTCTTTTAGTTCTGGCTTATTCAAACTGTAAGCAGGTAATGTTTTCAAAAACGTTTAGGTCTGCACTTCAAAATATCCGAGTAGTATAGTTGTTGGACGCTTACCGACCATGCATACGGTTCGAGGTTCGATCTGTGACCGACGCACACCTGATATCAATGGTCGACCTGCTAAATTTGGGCCACCGATATCACTTGCTGAAAATTCCATACTTGTACAAAAATACTGTGTGGAATCAGGCTATAATAAAACAAAGATAAAAAGTATTCATTCTCAGAGTTCTTCATGAAGCTTTTAGTTTCCCAAATACTTCCACTTTTGTACGTATCAGTTTATAATAGTTTCTGCTTTTATGATTGTTTTATGAAATGTTACTTCCTCTTTACACACTTGAATAAAGCAAAACAAGATAATATGATTTAGTATCATTTGATCAATTCCAACGTGCAGCGGTTTGGTTATCGAAATGCTTTAACCACTCAAGTAACACTAATGTCTTCTACCAATCAATGAAGGCTAGTGAAGACTATTAGTTTCGTTGTTTGCAAGTTACACAGTTTCGAGTGCGGAAACAAGCACAGTTGCTTCTGGATACCAGAATACTCAGATCTCACTGTGTGATCTGCTTAATGCCGTAAATGACAGTCAAGAAAACAACCAAAACGGAGACACAGTAAATACTACTGATTGGCTGGTATGAGTAGTTGAAACAATAGTGCTTGGTAGCCCGATCGAAATGGCCTTGACATCAGATGATGGTTTCATTCGGTGCCAACCGTGCAAATCAGACAACTTCCGCCTGCTTACCTAGCTATACTGTTTGACATGAGGGGTTTCAACTACTCACATCGGTCAATCAGTAGTGTGTAATATAACGCGAAAATTCTTTTAGGTTAGCTGAATGATAGTATATTCATCTTGATTAGCTTGTTTTTCTTTCACTTTGGTTGATTTATTTCATGAAAAATGAAAGGTAATACAATGCCCTTTAAAGGAAACGTACTTTTAATTACATATCCCTTTTTCTGTTCTAACAGCAATTCTACCCTCAGTATAACTAAGTGTTCTAGGTATCTGAAGAGGTTACTTCATTCACTTATCTAGGAAGCATTGTCTCAACTACAGGCATTCGGAACGGACGTGGATTCCAAATCGAGAATCGGGAAGGCGATAAACACAATCATCAACCTGAAACCAATCTGGAAATCTTCATCACTCAGCATCAACAACAAAATCCAGTCGGATTTTCAATACAAACGTCAAGTCAGTCAGTTCTTCTATACGGATCAGAAACTTGGTGGGTGGGTTACAAAGAATATTTCCAACAGCCTGTTGTAGACGTTACCTTTATCAGCAACTGTCTTCGCTCTATACTGAAGATCAGATGGCCCGGCCGGAAAGAATCACCAACAAGAAACTATGGGAAGGAACAAACAAAACAAGAACCAATCGCAAACCAACAAATATGCAGGAGAAATTGGAGGTAAATTGGACACTCGCTGAGGAGGCCGGTTGGTGACATGGCACGTCAGGCCATTGCTCGATTGGAACCAGGCCGAAAGGGAAGCGGCGAGTGGGACGTCAGTGCAAGGGTGATATGGAGGAGATCGTGTAACGAGGTGAAAAGTACAGCAGAAGGAAGACAGAAGCAAGTGGAGACGTGCAGTTGAAGCCCTTTGTTCCACTAGGAACCCAAGGAAACAGTAATAATAATAAGCTATCTGAAGAGTTGGAAATTTTCAGAAACACAGTTGGATTATTTTCAGACGGTCCAAAGATTTAGATACAGTATAAAGTGGGATGGGCAATAACAGACTGCTAGGACTAGAAATCTATGGAGCAATGAAATCAACACAAGAAGTATTTAGAGTCACTACTATAATTCTCATGGGAACTGTAAAAATACTGAAGAATTTCAGAAAGTAAATCTTAAAAGAAATGAGATTATTCCTGTCTGGGAATCGTAAATTACAAGAATATTGAGTAGTTAGTGATGACACAGGCATTACGATTATACTCATTGGTAGCCAATCTCTCTTAATATCTAAAGTATTTAGTCACAAATAACTCTGAAACTATGATTTAATGACCTTAGCTGCCGAGATGTTATGTGCAACGAACAGATGAGTGAATATTTTCAAGTCTTTTTATTTCCCATGATCTTTAGTTAATTTTCCCATTTCTTATATGAGTACTAATAATCTGTTTCTTAAAAAAAGATTTATCTACATTAGTATTCTGTGAATTGAGTTTTGCTAACATTACTTAACTCTTCACAAGTATCGAATCAAAGTATTTCTCTATACTAAGCAGAGTTCATGTCAACTCTCAGTTATATTAGGATACTAAGAGATTGAAAAATAAAAGTAACTTGATAAACAGAAAATCATAGACATCTTCAGTTAAATGAACAATTTTTTAAGCTTAATTGTTTAATCAAAATGATATACCAGTGTAATTTGAGTAGTTTGAACCAAGTATTTAACAGCACTTTTAAATTCACGAACCTCTGAGGAGAAACACTATGATAAGATCCTAACGTAAAAACTTTTCAAGTGTTGGTTTGCAGGGACTTGATTGATTTCAGGATTTCACTATGAATATACAAATTGGGTCATAGGAGTTATTAAGAAGACAATTGCAGCGAAGAAAATTTTCTTCTCGACGAAGTCATCATCTTGGCTGTACATTCGTGTATTTATATCAAATGGATAGGAAAGTTCCAGAATTATATCCGGTCAAGGGTCAAATTAGTAAAAATTAAAATTAGGAATCGGAATGCCATAATAAACAGGGGGATGGATAAAACAAACAAAG